AAGTACTGATCGCCCCTATTGTTGACCATATGTACCTCATCACATGCAGGATGCAGGTCAGCAGGAGAAAGCGAACAAATTTAAGTGGGCTGTAAACAGCTGGCGATAAGTCGAATCTTTCCAAATGCTAAGCTCTTTGCGAATAGCTACATATAATGATTCAGCCCGTCAGCAAATATCAAAGTTTTTACTCATACTGAAACTCCACAACGGCAATTTAATTATGTACTACAATCAATATATCATGAGCTAGACAACTACTGGTTCCAGTACCTCACAGGCATTTATCAGGGTAAAACCATCATTCTCCGGATGGTGTTGATGACGTTCGCAGCAAGTGGTTCGCTTTGGCTGAAGCCTTGTTGTTCGCGGCAAATCACTTACTACAGATGATATAAAAGTCAGGCAAAGATGATCAGTGCTGACCTGCACAATTCAAGTTCATGCCATAAGAGATAACTGGTGACCTTATTCACAATAATCCGAGACAAGTAAACAACAACAATGTGTACAGGTACAGCATATGGCATCGCTGATTGAAGAGAATGCGACTGCGCAGAAGAATATTTATGACATATGAATCAAAAGGGCAGTAATAACCAGTCAGTTGATAAAGTTACTGCTTAGTACTGTATAATTTGACTTCTTTTATGTTGTTTCAGTTCATAAGTTGCGAACAGGAGAGGAGAAAATACACTCTTAGAGGCCAAAAAATAATCTGAAGCAACATCAATTTTTGGTGTTAATCTAGGCACTGACTGTTGATCGATCGAATAAGAATTTCATAGGGTCCTGTAGTAGACCTTCCACTCCTTCCATTCTGTAGTTTGATGCTCGTTGTCGAAAGTTTCTTCCAGGTTTATGAACTAGGTACAGAAGCATACGCCAGTGCTCAATACACTTCATGAGACTTCGTTACGCACCTTCAGCATTTCTGGCAGAAAGGGTGGTAGGAACAATCACAGGATTCATCTTTGTGATTAAGAGGGCTAAAGAAGGTTTTGTGGCATGAGCTACTACCATAAAGGGAGAAATTAATTTTTCTATCTTTATACTGTGCATTAGCCATTTCAACCCAAAATCGTTATTTTTATTGTTATGTATTCAGCGGCGGTATCGATAGCTCCATAGACCATTGGGATTCCATTTGTCACCCTTTTTCCTCCGGATCGTGGCAATGCTCTATGTTCGACAAACTTTTGTTCAAGACGAGGTCCTAACGTCCTATGTACTGCAGGTGCTTAAATACCATGGAGACTTGACCCGTTTAAATGGTCCTCCTAGGCGTCGATAAGCAAGGAGGCGGTGCATTGAGCTGCTGGCGTAAAGTGAAAAATTGATTCTTTTCTTTGCATTGTGCATTCGCCGTTTGAATCCGGAATTATTACTGTAAAGAAGGTTTTGTCTTGAGTTTAGCACGAAAATTAGCACACCTTCAATGTAGTGCGGCAAAAAACCGGCATGACGCTTGAAATAGTGATACATTGACCATGAATCCGACCTTTCTGATCATTCACTTAGGGTTGCTTGACTTTTTTTCTTAGAAACGCCATGGTGATTTTTGGTTCACATGAGGTAGTGAAACTCAACTGCGTTCTACGAGACATTTGCTTAAGTAATTGTGTGTTTGTTTGCTTGTCAGGATGCCGTTTGCACAATGAGAATGCATTTGATTTGTAATATTCGCTGCGTTCGCAGGTTTTCAACCTTTTGCTATAAGGCACCGCATACCGCGTCGTACAAGAACCCGTTCTCTTCTGAAAGTTGATCTGATTTACTTTGTTCCTCCACGTTGCGTACTAGACTC